TGTTCGAGTACGTTTAAATCAATTTAAAGTTAAATCTTATGCTTATGGAAAAATCGGCTTTTGGAGTTCTGTGACCTGCGGCTGCTTAGTTTGCGGTTGTCACCCTTCACAAAATTTATGACTGGAAATAAACAAGCTATGTTAAATCAAATGCAAGGAAAACTTATTGCCGATTGTTACACTCAACTTCAACTTGGCTGCGTTTCAAAACCAGCTCTCGCTTGAATAGTCAAGGAATACAAAATGACTTACCCAAAGTCTCTTAAAGCTGCGCTTTCAGCGCTTGGGTTGTAAATCAATTAGCAGCCGCAGCTGGTGTCCTGCGGCTTTGTGAAAATTAACTACCTGCTAAGTTAATTGAGCAAACAACTCCCGGACAAGCGGCCATAAAAGTTGGGCCGCACAAAACTAAAAATCCGCTAGCTGGTTTTACAACTATTAATTACGTGCACAAAGTTATGACAGCAGAAAACAGGCGCAGAGCTCTGAAAAGTTGTGCAGAACCAAAAAATAAAAAAATGAAAACTGGCAGCTGGGCGGGACGATGGAGGAGAAAAGGAAGCGCACATCATAAATTACAGGACGAACGGACATGGACACGCGGATGTTGTCCTGGCTGCTGCTGCTCCTGCTGCTGTTCGGTCCTGGTTGCTGCTGTTCAGTCAGTAAGCCGGCTGTCTTGCGGCAGGCCAAACAGCTTCCATGCTTCCAAAAATCATTTCAATGGAGCTTCGAAAACCGACAACCGACTGCGTCTCTGTCTTTGTCTCTGTCTCGGGATCCGGGCCATGGCAATGGCATAACGTACTACGGCAACGGTAAAGGTAGACAAACACACACACACACACTCCCACGCACACAAAATGGCTGCCGTAGCGCACAAAAAGTGTCATGGCGCATGAAAAACTTCCTGGCCATGGCCAGGACATCATCATGTGCCTTGGCCGCAAAACAATGGCGGCAGCTCCTCACATTGCGGCGGCAACCGCAACGGCAATCCACAGATCTACAATTTTTGGCCAAATGAAAGTCGCATTGTCGGGCTCAATGTTTCCGGCGGCTCATGGAGGCACAACCATCGCAGAGCAGAACAAACCACGGTCCGGAGTGGCAGCCTCTTTGCCTGTGGCCTGAAACAAAGCGCATCCGTTGGCGAAAATTGAAATGACAAAGTTCAAAGTTTAAGCGGCTTGGCTGTCAGTTGCTCGCTTCACTATTTTTTTTTTCTGGCTTGTTTGCTTTTAAGTCGACCTGCAGCGCAGTCACCTGTCGACCAATCTCGGCCTGTCCATAGCTAATCGGCATATTTAAAGGACATGCAAATTAAACGCAAATGAAATTGCCTGCAGTTAAACGCGCTTTACCAGGGGCTTAATAGCCCACAACGGCAAATGCACTGCAAAAGTCATAAAACGAAAGCCACTCACGGCCACGCCTCCCCCCCCCCCCCCCCGCCAACGACAACCCCTTTGCTGGAGCCAAACAAAAACATTTGCATACTTTTAAGCGCAGCTGAGAAAAATCACTCATACGCACACGTCTCCATTACAGAAGGGGGCGTAACAAGGCCCTGTGGGCGCTCAACCTTACCCAGCTGTCTGGTTTTTGGCCTTGTTGTTGTTGTCGCTGTTGTTGTTGTTCTTGTTGTTGTGCTATTATAACGGTATTTGCATTGTGTTTAAACGTATTTGAACACGAGGTCGACGTCGCTCGTCGCCCGTCAGGGTAGCTCTGCTCCTGCTCTCGATTTGAAAGGAAACTGGTGGGAAATTCACTTTGAATTTAGCTGGTGGGGCAAGTGCTTACCAAATGAGCAGGCAATTTATTTACGGTCAAATTGCGAGGTTAGGCAAAGGCAAACAATGCGCAGGTCGCACGGCAAGCATGAAAACCACGCAGCCTGCCTTCTGGGCTGCGTGTGGGCGTAAAAATGTGATAAATATGAAATGTGATTATGGTCTGCTATTATATAGCCGCCGCTATGATGAGGCTTATTATATGGAGTTGCCACTGCGGTTGCCCAGGGCGTCGTTTTGACTGAGTGGCTGCTCAGTCCGACGGGTGGCACACAGGGCGCTGCTAGCTTAAATGAGGAAATGTGATTTTGACGATGTGTTGGCTTAACGAGACGCAAACAAAACTCTGCGCGCCTGTCTCTATGTGTGTGTGCGTATGTATAGAGGAAGTTGTAATTGTTTTTAAAGGAAGTTGGAATTGCTCATTGGGGAAATGTATAAAATAAATCAGTGGCAGGACCAAGCTAGACGCCAAGTTCATTGTAAACTGCAATGATATAAGTCATAGAAAACTATAATAATAGTAAGGCAGGGCTTGTGGCTTAGTTTGATATGCGTATCGTGCTAATGTTAAGTGGGATGATGAAAGACAAGGGCGATTTATTTAGTGCTCAAACCAAATTATTGCTTTTTTATGTAAGATTTAAATCAAGGCACCTCTGCATAACTATTAATACTAATAAAACCATGGCTGTGTAGATGGCGGAGGGTTCGCGTCGTGAACATAGGATTTAGTTTCAGCCTTGGTTAAAAATGGTTGTCACTTTTATATAGAACTTTTTAATTTATAATCTTTACTGACTGATTTCTGAGCAACGCACAGCCCAAAAGCGTGAAAACTAGGTAGCTAAAATTTTTACATAGTAATTTTATATGTTCGAGCTGCGAGCTAATACGGGGTTTTGGAGAATTCCACCCGCAAGTGGGGAAAAATCGCGAAAAACGAATTCACTTTTTTGTTTACCGTCCAAACGGACTCAAACTCAATCTAACCTTGCAGAGGGTGCTATAATATTTCCTTGAAATGTGCAACGCATAGAAGGAGACATCTCCGGCACAATAAAGTATATGTATTCTTGATCAGTATCAACAGAGAAGTTGATATAGCCATTTCGTTTGTTTGTTTCAATGCGAACTACTCTCAGTTTTAAAGCTGTCATCGTGAAACTGTGCATAAGTCCATCTTTCCTTTTATCAAGATATGGTTAAGATAATCGGCATTAACTATTTTCTTTAACTATTGCTTCTTAGATCTTCGGCAGAGTAGGCAGAAACAAATTTCATGTTGTGGCTGATTGGGCTGTTGAAACAGCTCCCATTTCCATTCGCTTACATCTTGCATTTAACGTTTCGCATTAACTTTCAATCGCTTCCATCAATTTGTTCACCTTTTAACAACTAAGCTGACTTTTCAGTCTTTCCCACACCTTCCATGTTCAATGTCTTTATCAAGTGGCTTCGGCGGTGAACACAAGGCCATAAAACGCTAATCCCATCATGGGAACAATGCGAACAAGCCAGGAGCAGCGGTTTGGGCGGTGGGAGGGTAGCTGCGTTTAGCCACGCCATCAATTGATACATCAGTTGATAAATCCAGAGATCCTGTGAGAATCGCGTGGCACAGTGGCACGGGCTAACAGGATTTGGCCACGCTAAATCAACGCAATTCGTTGTGGCTCATTTGAGTGCAGCAAACGAGGCATCCTCCACGGCACCCACCACCCAAGACATTCGTTGCGCTTTGTCGGAATTCGGCATGCTACAAATTCTTGGCTCATGGGAATCGCTACAGTCTCAAAGGAGGGTTGCCAGTTGAGTGTAGAATTATTGAAATTCGAAAATCATTTCTGTCCAAAGCACTTGAGCGAACTCCTTGTGCCAAAATAAGTTGCCAGCAGTATGCCACATTAGTTGCGGTGTCTATCGTCTGAATTTGTGTTTTCTTTTTTCTGGCTTCCGACTACCCTTCATTTTTGTGTGCGGACTCCGCATCTTGTTTACAGCTCTGTTCCCAGACCTAGTGTCAGCTCATTAGCGTCGCCGGCGCAGTTTTTGTTGCCGCATCTAATTGCTGCATACGCTGCTCGACTTATGGGCTGCATGCGACCGACCCAACGGCTGCAGCCCCTCCCGCTATTTTGGCTTCATTGCGCTAACAAGGCCAACATATTCTCGGGCACTCATATGGCGTATGTTTCTCCAGAGCATGTGCCGCTTTTTCTGAGCCTGGGAACCTATGTTTTTTCGCGGCCTGACAACTGCTGGCACTTTGAGCTAAAGTATTGCTACATTTGAGGAATTTAATGGTTCGACTGAAAAATGCATGAATAAACATTTTAATCAAATGAGAATAATAACGTAGAATTAAAGGCTTATATAAGGTTAATTACTTAAGTTTTCAATGTTTTTATAATGAAGGCGGTTTTTAACCAAATCGTTTTTGGGTCGCAGTTCCAATTCTTGTTTTATAGTAAGCTGCATCATTAAGGGCATTAACAAACTGAATATTAATTTTTAAATCTTCCACATCGTTTTTATTGCTCGATTTGAAGTTTTATCTATCAAAGTACCCGGCTTGAAAGATTGGTGTGGTTGGATCGTGCAAAGTCTCCGTCGCTTTCTTCTGCAAAGCATTCTTCCCAGTATATCAGGGTGAGCATAAAGCCAGCCCACGTAGCTGGTGAACTGCTTTAGTAAAAGGTTGCCCAGCAAAGGGAGCTTTAGATCTTTTGGCAGGTTGTGGATTTACCAGGTTGCCCTCCAGTACTATGTCTGAGAGAACTTTGGCTTGGAAGACTTAAATTTTTGTCCAATTTGTTTGCATATTGGCTAACTGGGGCAAGTGGGATTTTGTAAAGCTGAACTTTGTAGCTCAAGAAAGCTTACTATTTTCCTTCAGGAGCCACACAATCTTGGGTGAACATCAAATCCCAAGTAAGAAGTGCAGCTTAACTAGTTGGGAAATTCAAATATACATATATCATTCCATTTATACAGTCCGTGTACAACACATTTATTAAAATAATAAAGTTAGGCCTAACTTGGTGGGAACAGATCAACAAGTTAGGGACTAGGAATAGAAAGAGAATATATATATCTTGGATATATATATTTAATGGTTATTATTCAAATAAATACCTCTTTAAATCGTGTTTAACCCAAACCCCTTGACCATTAAAAAAGTGATATATTTGATTTTAATAACAATCAGATATTTATTTAAACATTAAGTCACACATCAAATGTTAAATTGTTGGAGCATTAAACTTAGGTCTAGTAATTTACAAAGAAAAAACGAGGCAGCTCGAGTAGACGCTGCCTAGAGCTAATCCGATGGGGAATAAGCAGATATTTTAGATAGTGGACTTTACGAGATAAGAATTGCACTATATTTATGGCTAATGGTGAAACTTAAATTGGGCATGAACTAAACTTAATATCACAATGGAGAAACATTTCTGGATGTGGGGTGGGGGGGAGGAGTGTTACGGACTAGACTAACAAAACGCGCTGCAGCTTAAAAGTATCCGAAGAAATGTTTGGATCATTTGGAGCCACCGCCTGATCTGCGTCCTGGCGGCGTGCCGCCAACCACATTGATAATCTCATTGTCGTTGTTGGACTCCTCCGGCGTTGGCTGATGATCGCTGGCCTTGTCCTGATGCGCGGTCATGTGCCGCGTGAGATGATGTCGCTCGCGGAATGTCTCCTGACAGACGGGACAGCGCAATTTCTCCTCTCGTTTGCGCCGATTCGGATCGCAAGCCACCTCGCTCTTGTGGTGGGAGCGCATGTGGTAGACCAGATCACTGGTCATGCGGAAGCTTATGTTGCACTTGGCACACACATTCTGTGCGGTCAGCGTGAAGGTGGAGGCCAGCGTCGGTGGTATGAGCGTGGATAGAATCGCAGCTGCAGCGGGATTCTGCAGTGGCTGAGCCACCGCAAAGGGATGCGGAGGATGACCAAAGCCTGGATAAGCGGCATGCAGGAACTCCGGTGGCGGACCCGTTGGCGGTGACGAGGGATTCGATGGGCAGCCATTGGGACTGTGGCCATTTGGCGCCGTGGGCGGCCTGTAGAGCAGCTGCTGCTTGAGTCGCTGCTGTGCCTGGAGTGCCTGCATGGGATTCACGGCCTGAAAGGCGCCATTGAACTGATATTCGGGCCGAAAGTTGTGATACATGATGGGATTGCCGTTGGGTAAAGTGTTGGGCGTTGTAGCATTATTGCCGCCACCGCCACCTCCACCTCCGCCGCCGCTGCTAGTGCGCGGTGGAGGCGTGGCCACTACAGGTGGACTCATGGAATGACAGCTCAACTGATCCGGGCTGAGCGGTGGTGCGCTCACATCCACCGGCGACTCCAGCCGCGACACCGTCGAGGGCGACGAGGAGCTGGACAGCGAGGAGGCCACCTTGGTGAACGCGCTGCGCAACGGCTGCGGCGGCGGCGACACAGTTGCCTCTGGCGAGTCCACCAGCGGTATGACCAGCGTGGGATCATCATAGACACGCGGCGAGCGCATCATCAGCTGTGGATAGCGTTGGCGCGCCTCCAGCAGACTAATATACTCCAGAGCTGCCGGCGAGGGCGGCTGTGATGCGGCAGCACGCGGCGACAGATCCGTGGGAAAGTGATGCAACTGCAGCGGCTGCTGTTGCTGCAGTGCCTCCTGCAGGCGTGCCTGCTTCTCGGCCTGTTTCTGCTTGATGCGCTCATCGGGCATCATTAGAAAGGCCACATCAAAGGAGCGTTTCAATGTCGTTTTTACGCTTGGCGTTTCATTGTTGTTGTTGTTATTGTTGTTAATGTTGTTGTTGGCATGTTGCTGATGTTGCTGCTGATGTTGCTGCTGTGTCATTGCTGCTGATGTTGCTGTGGGGCTGGTGGAGATGCGAAGCTCAGTCTGCTGTTGCGGCGGCGTTGTGCGACGCACGGCGGAATTCGCATGCGACGGCAGGCTATCCATGAGCAAGTTCATCGCACACTGGAATCGGACACTTTTGATATTTTTGGCGTAGTCTCTGGCTCTCTAAGCTTTGATGCACTTGTCAACAAATGGATGCTGGTAGTTTTTGTGGCACCGTTCGATTCGAAGCTCTGTTTTCGACTGCTGCCCGCACGCAATCTGTTCCTCTTTAAGTACTCGCCACATTGCCACCACCGGTGCAGCGAGTCCACTTGGAATTTTCATATTGTCCCATTCAAACGAAACTCTCCGCTCACTCGCGGCACTCGCACATCTGTCTCGATTCTGTTTGGACTCCCCGCCAGAGTCTGTTTCGACTGCTGCAGAGAGTCAAATTCGAATCTGCACCCTTATGCTTATGCTCTGGTGGTTGTTGTTGTTGTTGTTGTTGCTGCTGCTGCTGCTGCTGGTTTCTGTGACCATAGCAATGGCTATTGCTCTCCCGCTCTCTCGGCGACCCATCTGCTTTGCCAGTTGCCAACATATTCTGTGGTTTTATTGTTGCAACAGCGACTGGGCTCGCCTCCTGGTTGGCTGGCTGGCCGACTGGCATCCCGCTGAGGCTTTTCTATTATATTTTTCCTACACTCGACATTGTATATCATATACTGCACCGTGGTTCAAGAGTGCTGGAGTGTACAATTTTTTGGGAATGAAGATTTGACATAATAATTAAACGGAAAATTTAACTCTTAATTAAGGTAACATTCTCAATATTGTTTTCAAGCATTTTCATTTAAATGATCATTATTTGAAAAACCTTACATTCAATTTACTTTTGGCAACTTCATAACGTACTTGTAACTAAACTGTAAGTATTAAATGTTTTACTTTAATGCGTTCTAACAAAAACAAGAGTAAAAGAATTTAAATTAAACTAATTATAGCAGGACATTGACATATGAACGTAATCGAATTTATATACCCTGAACCCGTTAAAAATGGGTATAAGGGTATATTGTATTTGTGCAAAATCTAAATGTATGTAACAGGCAGAAGGAAGCATCTCCGACCCCATATATTCTTGATCAGCATCAATAGCCGAATCAATCTAGCCATGTCCGTCTGTCTGTCCGTCCGTCCGTTCGTCCGTCCGTATGTATGAACGCAAGGATCTCAGAACCTAAAAAAAACTAGAGAAATTTTAGATGTAGGTGATCCTGTCGATATCCTGTTTTTTGGGCAATTTTGGTAAATAATAAGAGCTGGAGTCACCAAACTTGACATACAGCTTCTTAAATAGAATATATGTATATATGCATTTGATGTTGGAAGAAGAGGGTTCAGGGTATCCCCTAGTCGGGAGCTCCCGACTAGAACCGCTTACTTGTTTTCTATGCATACGGTCTCTTCACAAATCGGTGTAGGATTAAGTAGTCCGATTTTGATAAGATTTTTCGCATACGTTATAAGCCATGTTAATATTTTTTCATGCTGAAACAATCATTGTTCAGCCCACTGTGCCATTTTGTGCGTGGCAAAGTTTCGAAAAGAGGCGGCGCTTAGATGTTGGCCGAGCTCTCTAGCTCTCACTTCCAACCCCCTTCGGATGGCAATCTGTTGTCTATCTCGTTTACCCTCTCTAGCTATTTCCCTCTCTCGAATTGTGCGGCACTGCTGCACGATATATCCTTGATGTCCTTGTTGCAAGTGTTTCCGAACAGGTTGTTTTTGTCGATTTTTTGGCAGCACCAGCGATATTGTCTGAATATGTATTCATGTTTTGTGTTGTCCTCGTGGCTGTTGCTGCTGCTGCTGTTCGTCCTGTTGTTGTTCTTGTTGTTTGTATTTTGAATATATGCTGCGCGTAGCTTTTACATATTGTATGCGAGCACATAAACATACAAACACACGCACACAATCCGGCAAATTTTGAGTAGGGCCTCATGTAGGCGACTTTTGAGCGCAAAAAGATTTTCCAAACTAAAATATTTATCCGTCTGCCTGTCGCTATATATTTTGGTATATGAAAAAAAAAAAAGAAAAAACAACCTCTTTACTGTCAACTATTGTCCAGTAACAATACCAAGCAACAACAACAACAACTACAATAAATTGTGCAATGTTTTCCGTTCACTTTTCCATCTCGCTCTGCCAGCCGCATTTTGGCTTTTACACTGCACTCCGAGTTCTGGGCAGGATGTGGCCACTGCTAGGGCGAAATATGTGTCTGTTATGGCCACGTTATGTTAGCCATGGACAATGTACATGCACACACACCACACACATGCTTATATATAGAATTGTATTGAAATTCAACGCCTTTCATTGCAATTGTTGTTATTTTTTGTTGTTTGTCTGCAGTTGGCAATTTAATGTTTGCATATTTTCAGGTGCTAATTGCTCCACTTGCCATATGAGCTGCATTTTTAATTAAAATTTATAGCTGCCACTATCTGCATTCTGCCCATGAGTGTGTGTGTGTGTGTGTGTGTGTGCCTGTGTGTTGTAGGGGCATGTGTGTATTTGTTGGAGCCTATAATTCGTCTGTTCGCCATGTTTTCTGTCGACACAAAATTAATATTTAACACATGATTGCCTTCGTCATTGGCATTTCATTAAAAATATTGTTTAGCTTATAATTAATTAATTGCACGCAAAACTATTAAAGCAAAAGCGTTTATTAACATTTAAATATAAAAGGATTGATATGCTCAAGCCATAAAATACTAGTAAAAAGACTAAATCTTGTGTCAAGACTTCTTAATTAGGGTATTACGAATAAAATTCAATAAAAGAGCTTTATTCCTGTTAGTTCTGATTCTTGGAAGAACTTGAAAACATTATAATTTAAACGCATTTTAATTTATTTTTGTTGAAAATTGATTTTTAATAATAATTGAATTCTTAAATTAACGAAATTTTGCTATTTCCGTCAACATTTATTTCTCTGTCAGCTTTGAAGACATTTATTTGAGGATATTTAAGGACCTGCTTGCTTTTCCTTTCCCCCAACAGTTCTTGCCACGCACAAACACTCATGTGGCACGTGACTGCAATTTGAGTAGAGTGTAAATCCCAACACATTCGCCAAATTCACTCGAATATATTCAATGGAAATTAACGCAAATCTAGGATATACAAATCGAGCACAAAATTTGCTAGGGCCAAAGCAATTGCTAATCTACCCCTGAAGATCTGCTCAACTAAAACAATCTGATGAACTGTTAGCCATGTCAGTCTGAAGAGGGGGGTTGTTGCTGTCGATACATCAAACTGCCAAGTGACAAAGTGATTCCCAGGGCCTGAGCCTGGGTCTGTGTCTGGGCGACGGCAACGCGCAAAAAGGCGTGAAATTGCCTTTGTGTGATTAAGTCAAGCCGCCAAGAGCAGGGGTTTTGGCTGGAAATGGGAAATACGACTGCGTCTTGGCAAAGTGAATTACAAAAAACTAAGATGACAATCTACTGACTAAGTTTCAGACAGAGCTACGTGTTCCTTATGCCGTGTCTTTGGCAGTTTTAATTACCGTGGCAGATAAGCAAAATGTAAATGGTAATTGTTTCTAGTTGGAAGTCCTGGCTGTGCGGCAGCCAGGTGGATGTTGGCCTGGAGACAGCCGACACCTTTTCTTACGGTTATTGTTAATGTTAATGCCTTGGCTGCTGTCTCGTAATCTGCGTTGTTTTGCGGTGTTCCGTTTGCTCCAGAATGGAACAGCTTCTAGCTGCCTGCCTGATGCTCAAGTCGGATGTTGGCTGCTTAGAAAGTTTCCGGGCCGTGCATATTGCAGCTCCATCTGCACTTGCACAGCCAACCCTTGTGTATGGCATGTCCCTGGTGTATGTGCTGGTTCGAATTTATGCCCTGGTCTCGGTTCAATCAAGTGCTTTTCGCGCATTATATAAAAATTCGAATTGGATTTCAGAGCAGCAGCACCTAATTTAATGGGGGTTGGAGGGTGGTTTGTTGCTGCTCCTGTTGCTGTTTGTTTAAATACCGTGAATAACATGTGGTTTTTTCGAAGCATATGGCAAGGACTTTGTCACTATTTAGACGGCCGTCTGCTCTGTACTTGTTCTCGTTCAAATCCTCCAATTAGACTGTCATTCATTTAAACGGATTAAAAATCCCCGCACGAGGGTCGCTAACAAGGCCCGAGGGCCGTTCTCTGCTGCTGCTGCTGCTGCTGTTGTTGCCGGTGGTGTCTGGTGGCATTGGTGGTGCTGATGGTGGCAGCTCTTGTGGTTTAGTTGTAGTTGCTGCCTGCCTAAGCGGCTGAGCTATGCGGATTAGAGCCCTTGTTTTGGTTACCAAATCGCCTCATAACGACAATCTCTCGATTGCTGCCGTCGTGTGCGTTCAATCAGCATGGAGCTGTAGTCACAATCAAGCTCGGCAAATTTTTATGCTGTCATATGCAAAATGCCAACGAAGCAATCGAATGATATCAGACTTCTGACTCGGCTCCTGCATTGGGAATGGTGCCATCTCAAACCTCGCGCACCAGCCCGCCATTCGTGTGGGGCTTTATCTAAAATGCTTACGCTCGAAATGCTTTCAATCGACTGGTGCATAAATATTTATGTTCAACGGCAGAATGCGAGAATATATTGCCAAAATACTTGCCCGCATGCGTTCAAAATCCTTCTGTTACAATAACAACAACAAATCCTTGCAACGGTTCACAGTTGCCAAGTGTTGAATTCAACAGCGAAGCACGGCCAGCGGCCAGAATGTCAAGGACACTTCAGTTGGGACAGGAACAGGAACGGGAAGAGAGACTTCTGGCTACTTAAACTCTTCAAGTGGCTATAATAATTCCATTGTGATTATTTTTGCATGTAGCGCATAAATCTATTGCTAGGTTTCATAAAAATATCTATCCTGTATTCTGTGAAAGCCACTTTCATAAATCTCGTGGACAATTGTTGATTAAAAACGGCTTTACTTGAGAAATTGTGCGTTCGAAAAGGGTGTGAAAAGAGTCTTTAAAGTCTCTGTTTGAATTATAATTTATAAAGATATAGTCCGACTTCGAAAATCTTTTCACTTTAAAGTGGAGTCCGTTTTGTGGATTTGTAAAAAGTTTCTATTTTAATACACTCAAGAGATCTTGAAGGAAGGTCTTAAAATAATATTTAAGCAAGTTAAGATGTAGAAGTAAAATATTTATATATTTGAAGTATAACAAATGCAAGATAAATTCTCCATACTCTACTTTGAGCTTT